ACTTGAAGATCTACAAGGTCCCTTCTGACCCTACTTCTGATTCTATGAATAAATATGTTATAAACAAACAAATTGCCACCAGAATTATTCCTCATTTGCTGTTTTAACTGTATAACCACCAAACCACTGCTTTCCAGTGATGATTTGCATCACATTGAAAATCTTCCACACTTACTGCTTCATAGTTCTTTTGACATTTAGTCTGCTACTGTTGCCATTCATGAAACAAGTCCTGCTTATTCATTAGGAATTGTAGGATTTGTCAGGTAGGTTTCCACAAGGGTCAGTCCTGGGTCTGGTGCAATTTACACGTGTATATTTTTAAGGATACAGAGGCCAGAATAGAAAGCTGATCAAGTTTGTAGATGTTGTAACTGGGAAGGACTACAAACATGGTGAAAGATAGGAGTAGATTTCAAGAGGATCTTGAGTGATTGGAGAGCCTGGATAGGTGCAGCAGAATGAAGTTCAGTGCAGACAAATGCAAGGTTATTAACCTAGGGAAGAATAACTAAATCCACAGATACAGAGTGGGAGATAACCAGCTGGGTAGTAGTTTTCCTGAGAGATACCAGGGAGTTCTGGTGAATAACAGACTCAGTAAAACTCAGCATTGTAGCACAGCAAGAAAACTCACAAAAAGTAATTTTGATTTGTATCGACCCAAGTATTAGGTGCAAGGCAGAGAAAGTGATAGTACTGCTTTGGGCACTGATTAGGTCTCAGTTAGTGTTGTGTGCAGTTTTGGCTTCTTTATGTTAAAAAGAATGCCAAATAATTAAGAAGTAGGAGAACAACTGCTTTCCCTTGCTGCAGTTAGCATAATGTGGAGCAAGGGTTTTAAAATGCAGCAAAACAGGTTTAGTTTAGACATCAGGAAAAACTCCCTTGCTGTTGGAATAGTAAGTCAGTGGAAGTTGTAGCATCTCCTTTTGTTGTAGGTTTTCCAAGAGAAGGCTGGATAAGCATTGGACAAGGATAGTTAAAAAATAGTACATCATGCATTCATACAGGAGGTTGAACCAGGTAGTTCTTGAGGTCCCTTTCAGCCTCATGATTCTATGATCTAGCCCTGAAGCTGCCTCTGTCCCCTCCTACAATTATTCCACATCTCTTCCATCTGTCTTCTGTCTCTGGAACAATTTTCTTATCTCCTGCATTTCAAAGATTTCTGTCCCTCAGAGCTCATTTACTTTAGTCAGCATTAAGTTGCTGAGCTCCTCACTGTGGCCTTCATTCTCTATATTAGCTACACACTGTGTGTGAAATTAATATCCGTTTTCTAATATTTGGGTCTTTAATTAGTTGTATCTTATCTTTCACAGCATATCCTTCTACAAGCTCCTTATCCCTTTCTTCACCCAATCCTATTTCCTCTAACATAGATTGTAAATTACCTCAGGGAGTCATTGATACTTGCATGCAAAAATGGTCACGTGTGGAATCATATGAACATTATTATACTGGAGTTACTAAAAATGCTCTTGATGTAAAAGCACTGCAACCCAGTGAAACTGTTAGCCTAGCTTCTGTTGCAATACCATTTAAATTGTGCTTTCTTTTAGTTGCTTTGATGTTCTCATTGCTGTATTAATCCTTCCCATTAAAAATACAAGTCACTGTGCCAAAAAAAAATCTCAATTTGGGTAAGTATCTTTATAGTGGAGATAAGAGCTAAGCTGACATAACCAATAAGCGCTTTTACTGGCTGAAACATTAAATAATTATATACTTAGATCTATTTAAGGCATCCATTTTTTTCTACATATATAAACAGTTTTAAAATCTTTATTTCAGTACAGGAAACTCTCCAAGCAAGAGTGCCACCACTCCATGGTTCAGCAGTACCACTGTCCATAGGAAGCAAACAACCAGCTCTTGAAAATATTTCACCTATTAGTAGAGTACAAAACATGCCAGACACTTCAGAATTAGTAAGAACATTACCTCAGAAGTACAGGAGGAAAACAATGTCAGACGAAGAGATGGAATTCATCCAAGTAAGTTTGATATTTGTTGTTGTTTATTTTGTTTGTGCAGTATTTTTCAAGATGATGGGTAGCCACAATTTGAGAAAAACATGATGAATTCCTTTGCTTTTTCACTTTTGTTAATTTTTCAGTTAGCTTTGCAAGTTCAGCATGCAATAGATGCAAACTGTAGGGTCCTCATAACCAGGGATCCTGGTTTTCTCTGATTAAAAACTGCAGATTCTCTGATTTAAAAACCCAGAATCCGTGATAAAACTTAAAGGCCCCCTACAGCCCCTCCCAGTGCTGCTGGTGCCCTGCACTCCCCTCCACAGCCTCAACAGCCCTCCTGATGCCCCTCACAACAGTCCTCCAGACCCACAGACATGCAGACACAGACACTAATACCCACCCTAGCAGGTAAGTGTGTGTGTGTGGGGGGGGTCAGGGTGGGGGAAAGGGAAGGTGCTGGGGGAGTAGATCAAGAAAGGGGGGAGTGTGTCCTTGTGCCCACTCCCAGGAGTAGGGCCAGGGGGTGAGGGCAGGGATGCCACTCTATGGGCAACACACATGCTGGCTGGCCTGACAGGAGGTTCGCACTTGGAGGCTGCCACCGCAACTCTGCCACTGCGCCCTGTACTACCATCCCACAGCCACCTGACTGGTTTTGTGGACATGTGGCACAGGGTGTGGCAGTAGCAGTGCGGTGGCAACCACCATGTGCAGGCCACATATGTGCCGCCCGGCCGGGGGGTGAAACAGGGGGCTTGCATTCAGCGGTATGCCCCACAACCAGCTGCACGGCTCTGCAGTGGTGTCTGCATGCAGGTTGGGGGAGCTTTACAAGCAGTTACTGCCACCGCGGAGCCATGCCCTTTGCCCCTAGATCCTAGAGGTAAGTGGGGCTTGGGGTCTGCACAGCTCTGGGCAGAGCTCTGCAGCGGCAGCAGGAGGTTTTGGAGGGAGCAGCCATTACCACCATAATGGACCTCCAGGTAAGCGGTAGCGCTGCGTGCAAGCCCAAGCCTGCGCCCCCAGCCCTCACCGTGGCTGCAGCGTCGGCCATGGAGCTGTGCTCCGGCCGCATGCCAGCCTCCATCTTCCCCTCCCCTGGGCAGCTGGCCAGGCGGCATGTGTGTGGCCTGCACATGGAGGGCACCACCACACTACTCCCTGTATCACTTGCCCGCAGTCCTGCTCCCAGCTGTGATGAACTGCCTGGGGCTGGCAGCAACCCCCGTTCCCTCAACCCCCAAACTATCTTCCCCAGCCCTGCCCCACAGCCCCACTTACCTCTGTGCTCCAGGGGCGAAGGGCGAGTGTGCCCCTGAGCCCGGCCTTGGCAGCCTCAGAGGCTCAGGCTCCACCCTCCCCCCCTCTCCCTCCCCCTTCAGCCAAGGCTGGGGGTTTCCTGCCCTTTTTGCAATTGGCTTCTGCAGGCTGGAGCTGTGCTATCCTGCAACAGCTCTTTGCAAAAGCGGAGAATCCACGGATTTCTCTGCTAAAAAGAGAAATCCGCGTTTTCTCCAATAAGAACTGGGAAACTGTGGTTTTCTCCTGTTTTCCATAGGAAATGGAAAACCCGGATCCCTGCTCATAACACACAACTTGGGTAGGTAGTCACCCTAACTGGTAGCTCAGTGTACATGGACACAAAGAGATTGTGACTTGCCAAGTCACAATGTCCCAGCCTACCTTAGTTCATGAAACCAAGTTATTCCTATGTCATTTGAGGCAGAAAATAACTTGGCTAGGAACTACCAATGTACATGCTATTTTGTTTAGTTTTGAGCACTGTTACCAGATTCACACATCAGAAGTTTACCAGACAACAAAAATACTAAAAGCTAGAGGGAGACAGAAGTAACAATTGAAAGGTTTCCAAGTGTTACAGACTTCAACATGTTTCAAAAAGTATCCTGGACATGCATGTGATCTCTGTAAGACTCCCCAGCCAGAGCACTTCCAAATTACTGCTCTGATCAGGGAGGCTGTACTCTCTCTGAGTACCCCTCTTCCTGTCAGAACTGGGATGCCAGACTCTTCCCCCGAATCTGGCTCCAGTAGATGTGGAAGTGTCTAGAGTACTGTTACCCCAAAATCTTGGATCGGGGAATCGTTGTTTTGTGTATAGAATGCTTTACGCAAGTATTTCCTCCCCAGTAACATAAGTTTATTCAGCAGCTAGCACACACTTTTATATTAAGACATGTACTAGTTACCATGCAGGCAAGTCTTGCTTCCTATCCTGTTGCTCAGACAGTTAAGGGTCTCAATGAGATATTTAGGGGTGTAGTCCAGTAATCCAAAGACCTGTCATTCCCAGTTTTTCTTTATACCTTATGTTACTTGCATATTTATTATTTCTACTTCTACTATTACCACTGCTATTAGCTATTTACAGACTATATAACCTATGTCTCACTATTGGATATGTTCCTAAACCTTTATGTGCATAAACACACTCATACTTACCTTTCTTATCACACTGTATTTCTGTACATCCTCCCTGTACTGTCAGTGTTTATGCATAGATAAAATTTGTAGTTGCTTTCTCGGTTTTAACTATGTAGCAACTTCCTGGCCAGCTTGGTTGCTATGCAAGACCTCACAGGAGTGGACACTAGCAGTTTTTTGGTTTCAGTGCTGGAAGTAGATGGGGCTCCAGGAACACCTCAGGCACATTGAACCTGAACACGCTGGGTGCTGCTGCTCCCGGTACTGGGAGGAGGCAACAGCGGCCAAGGGAATGTGAGATCTTGCCTGCTTCCGAGTGTGGCTCCAGTGGTGGCCTGCTGTAGTTACCTGTTCTCCCTCCCACTCCCTATGTTTGTGTGTGGAGGCAAAAAATGGAGCACTGAGAGATGCTGGAGGACCCAGGGGTCCCCTGTCACGTTTACTAAACGGCAGTGAAGTGTTTCAAAATAGCATCTAATTCATAGTCACATTTAGAATATTGAAGAAGGCATGTATGTGCATTTGTACAGCTAGACCTTTTAAAGGTGTTAAAAATGTTTCAGTTTTACTGCAGTCTGCACCATAAAAGAATTGCATTTCTTTAGGCTTGTTAAGACAGACATTTGAAAAGTAAAAATACCAGTGAAGAAGTTATTATGTTTCTTATGTAGAAGTAAGAGTGATGGAACTAATTTTAAGTAGGAGGAGGCTTCCTGATACGTCTCTACTTAAATTTCTAACAGGGAGACATAGTAAGTTGTAATAGAGTCAACATCAGTAGAGAAGAGTATTAAATAATTTGACTTTACTATTTTGTACTTCTGAATTTGGACAAGTAAAACAACTTTTTTCAAATTCTTATTCACTAGGATACAGTGGGTTCATTTTTGCTGTTCATCAAATTATGGAGAAACATTTTAATATGAAAACTATAGCTTTTATAAAAGTCAAGATGTAGACATTTTCTGTCTTCCTTTGGCTATTATCTTACCTTTTATTTCTTTTATAGTAAGTTTGAATTAAAGAAAATATCTCCCCACCCAGTAATAAAACTCAGCTCTGTATATGTCTGCTTCTTTCCTTTAGTATAAAGTTTGTAATTGTCCACTTTTGCTTTTACAGCGTGGAGGTCCAGAGTAAGCATAGAAGATATGTCTCTTCACCTCCATTGAAGAATGAATTATATTCACAGTAAAGGCTTTTCCTTTTGCAATTTGTTATAAACAGTTATATGTTAATAGCTTTAATAAAGACTCCTTATGAGGGGTGACAAGATTGATGCTTCAGACTCTATCTGCTAATTTGTGTTTGGGCCAGTTTGTGTTAAAGACTGTGTGACTACACTTCATATACTTACATGATTCCAATGCATTTTTTTCTGATGAGCTATTCTACTTTCCTGCTCAGCAATAGTTGGGTTTTTTTAGTAGGTGTTCCACAGACAGCGATCCAGCTTCAGAATCTTTCCTGCTGAGGAAATCGAGCAGGGCTGCATTTTCTATGAATAATGTTCAAATCTTAATGTTCTTACTTCTGAGTAATGGCAATGGAAAATGAGCTTCGAGTCTTGTGCTCAGCTGTTCTGGTAGCTGCTCCATGAGGTGTGAACAGAATTAGGAGATTGTCAGCTTATTGCTGGAGTAACATTTGTTAATTAATGATGTTTAGAACCAATTCTAAACTTTTCTGCCCATTCTTTTTGGAGAAAATGATCATTGAGACTGGATTCTAACTTCCCTAAAATATAGAGGTCAAGTACATCATGGTGCTAATGGGGTTGGTTTCAAGAAGCATCATAGAAAAGTAGGGCAGGAAGAGACCTCTGGTCCACCCCCCTGCCTGCATCCAAACGTCTTATACACATCCTTGTCTAACTTGGTACTAAAACTACACAATCTTGTCACACAAACCTAACCTGCCATGGTGATGCAGGGGAACAACAGCAGTCGCTGCCCTACAGATGTAAGAGTTGTCAAATATATTTGACAAATCCATTGAAGATGACAAGAGTGGTCTGGTTTTTCTCCTTGTTTGCTCAAGACCATTACCTAGTTAAAAGGGAGATTAAATAATAATAACTGCTATAGCTGTTAAGGCCTCTGGCCAATTTAAAATAATTACAGTAGGAACAGCAGATGGTATCTCTTCCACAGTTTGATATTTGCTTGTTCAGAAAGCAGGTCTCACTTAACACTGTTAAACTAGGCTCAGTTTCTTCTTGGGAGGATGCTAAAGCTGTGTGGCAATCAGAAGTTCCACCCCCATATGCACCTTCCCATCTGTGCTCTGAAGATTGCATTTGGGGATAGTCAACAGGTCCAGGCCTGTTAGTTCTAGATTATCTGATACAGCATGCGCTGCTTTATTTGTCAAACTGATCCACATTAAAAACAAAGAACCATTGAGTCCTTGAATATAGATGGCAGACAAAGCAGTGCATTTTAGAATATGTCTTACTGCCATCTATTTCCATGTGTCGGGATCGGGGTCTTCTTTGGAAGTACACATTTTTGCAAGCAAGTCTGCCTTAATACTTAAAACAATATTTCCCCTGCCCTCTTCAACTTCATAGGCAAGGTGTTGCTTGAAGACCCAGTGTTACAGGAAACTGTATTTTTCATAAATCCCTATTTTCTCAGACTGACAGGGAGAACAAAACTTGAATATTATCCTGCAGCACGTTATTTGATTGGCATTATTTCCAGCCTGGCCTTCAATGCAGCTTTAGTAAATCTTTACCTTTCTCAAGGAGCATGTCCTGCAGCATCTCAACAAATTTTAAACACACTGGTGAATTAGGTGCCTTAGCACAGGACACGTAATCCAGGTGTATAGGAAAGGAAATGGAGAGCGACGGTGGTGGAGTGATTTGCTCAAGGCCACCTGAGGAAGCAGCTCTGTTCCCATATGTGGGCTCTGCTCAGGGACTCCTCTTTTTTTGGCCGATGCAGAGCAGGGGTCGGAGCCCCCTGAAGAGTGAGCAGAGGAACTTCTTCACCGCAAGGGCAACCCGAACCCGGATCAGACATCGTGGGGAGTTGTAGTCCCGCCTCCACCCCCAGCCCTGGAAGTCTTCAAGGGGAGACTGGACAGGCACCTCGCTGGGTCCTTTGATCTCAGCTCCATTCCAGGATCTTTCGAGGTCCCTTCGGCAGCACCGCCGGGCCTCGCTAGCGCTAGTGGCCGCCTAGCGACGGTTGCCAGGCAACCTGCTAGAAGGTAGGGGCCACGCTACTTCCGCCGCCCCCTCCGAGGGGGGGCAGGACTTCCGTTTGCGAACGGAAGCGACGCGCGGCGCCGGCAGCGACGGTTTAAATCCCCCTCCGCGCGCGGCCCCGCTCCGGCTGCCGCTGCAGTCGGCGATGGATGCGCGGGCGCGCGCCAAGCGCTACGAGAAACTCGACTTCCTCGGGGAGGGGCAGGTGGGCGCGCGGGCCGGGGGCGGGATGGGGGCGGTCGTCCGTCCCCGGGAGACGCGAGTGACCGACCGCGCTATGTTTCCGCCCTAGTTTGCCACCGTGTACAAGGCGCGGGACAAGAGCAGCGGCCGCATCGTGGCCATCAAGAAGGTGGGTCCTGTTGTCCCCCGTCGTCCCCCTCCCGGCTGCTCGCGGGGCTGTAGCCCACAGCGCGGTGCAGCTGCTTCCCTGGCCCCTCCCAGACCGGCCGCGGCCTGCGCCGCGTGTTCCAGCGGGGCTGGAGCGTAAACCTGGTTGCAAAGAATAATGTAATCATTGGTTTTATTTTTGTGTGATGTCTGTTGCTTCCAGACATACCAAAAGCTGCAAATGCGATTGTAAAACAGTACCGGTTGAGGTTTTTACAGCACTGAAACTTGCTTTTTCCTTGAGAAATGTCTGCTCAGTCAAACTGTTGAGGTGTGTGGTTCTTGTTGTAGGTAACACAACATTTACTATCTCTCTTTAGATTAAGCTTGGACATAGATCAGAAGCTAAAGATGGTAAGTACTTCAAATATGGTCCTACAGCATCACTTGCCCTTTTTTTCTTTGCACTGAAGACTATGAAAAATACTTGTTGCCATGGAGCAATGAGTTAATTTCACAGATCTTAATATGGAAAAGTTGTTGTTAACAGCTTTATTGTCAAATTTAATCTCACCTCATTGACTGAGGGGTCCTACAATAAAATCACCACCAAAACGTGCATGTTTCCTATGCAACCAGTGGGAGAAGAAACTGAAATCTTTGCATACATACTCTGAAGTGTCCAGATATTGTTATGATTGGCATGAAATGAAGGTCTGATTGATGCATCTTTTTCCTTGTTTTTGGACCCAATATGAAAACAGCGCTAGCATAAAGTAAATTGTGAAAAATGTACTGAATTTCTTTCAGTTGTGGTGTATAGTGTTAATTGGAAGTAACAAAACTAATTTACAGCACAGTTAGTGTCTTGGGACAACACAAGATGATGATTCTTTTAGTTTTTTGCCCTTAATTCTGTCGAATGTTTCGACATGATACTATTGGTGTTAATGACATTTTAAATCTCTAAGACAACTTGGAGTCCTGTTAAATTTTCTCCCTTTCTACTAAACATTACCAATGACCTCAAGTGTAGTATCATTCATGAATTTCAAGAGTAGTCAGTAAAAAGAATATAACTGTAGAATTAGGTTACTGTGAGTAGTTGCCAATGTGGATTCCTCTACGTGTGCGTATCAGATGCACACAACTTCTAATTCTTTGGAATAGCAATGTCCAGCCAGGTTAAATGTACATCTTGCATTTCTCATCTTCCTACATAAGGATCTAAAAGGTGAGGCAGATGCAGTCTTTTTTTAGCTCCATTTTGTTGTCTTGAACATGAGGTAGAATTCAGTAGGTATCCAACACGTCTTCAGAGCCCATGAATGGACTTGAATGAAATTGGAAAGGTGAGATTTCTTTGAAGGATGTTTCTTAAGGAGATGCTGAGCACTATCCTACAGTCCCTCTTTTACAGCAGACCAAGGTACTTTGTGCCAACCGCTGCACATTCAGAGGGAAATGTAAACCCAGCGTGCCCTTCCCCAGGCTGATTGCTTTCAAGGATGGACTAATCTGGTGTCTCTTGTGTCTGTGTATGGGTTGCATTCTAGATAACTGCTGTCTGTTCTCTGAAAGGATCTGGAAGGCCAAGAGTACTTGGTTTAAGTGTGATATGCTTCAGCAGTCTATATGGGTCACTTCAGACTCAGTAATAGTACTGGATACAGCAAGGCCAGATAAAGCAGTGTTTTATCACAGCCACCAGTGTTGGCACCAGTTACTCCAGTAGCAGTGAAATCTGTGTTATTCCCAACACGGACTCCCTGCTGGCAAGTCCAGCATTTGGTTTCTTTGCTGACTGCTGTTGATCTCAAGCAGTAAAGCCAGCTCATATGTCCACTTATAAACAGGATGTGATGTCAAGCTTGAATGTAGCTCCAAGACTGATGAGAGAGAATGCCAGGCATCTCTCAAGAATTCAGTAGTGAGATCTGAGACCAGTATTGGTACCCATACCTCTGATGGAACAGAATAAGGGCCAGACGTGTCCTGGAGGTACACATCTGCATCATGGACCTCTCCAGGTGAGAAGTGGCCTGAACCAGGACTGGTTGCATTTCCTGTGAGGAGACTTGATCCTTCCCATGATTGCTAATGTATTCCTTCCCATTGAATTTGAATATGAATCCCTTGTGTCTGCCATCCTGAATTAGCCCATGCAGAGCACTGGCCTGGTCAGTTTCTACTGAATGAATGTCCCTGTAAATAGGCCACCTGGCTCATATTGGCTTTACTGGAGACAGTAGTCCTGTAGGAACAGAACAGAATTGTAGTTGTACAGAATTAGCTGTTAAGTGCACATCTGTCACAACAACCAATTTGAATTGCAGTGATATGCTGAACTACCATTCTGCAAACTGAATTTATTTGTTTTCTTGCTTTATGAGGCAATTTGAGGAATGGGGAATTAATCTTAAGCATTTGTTGGCATATTGAACAACCAGAATTAAAGATTCTTAACTGGAAGCTGAATTTAAGTTTGACTTGCTTCCATCTTTGTCCTTTCTTTCAATCTAGGAATCAACAGAACAGCCCTCAGGGAAATAAAACTGTTACAGGAGTTAAGCCATCCAAATATTATTGGTGTAAGTATGAAATAAATACTGGTTATGGAACTGGTCCTATAATAGTCTCTGAATCCTTTAGATGTAGTTTGCTAGTAAGAATTACTGCTGGGATCACAGAGGGGCTTCTTAACATTTTAATATTTGCTATTCTACAGGTTGC